TACCCGAGGGCTGTAGTAGCATATTGCGGAGCCGGCGGAGCGGCTTCGAGTGAAATGGTCGCCGACTAACGCGACAAGAGCGGTGGGCAGATGACATTAATAGAAACGAAGATGCCGCCACGCCGCTACATCACCAGGCCATGATGGCCGAGAAGCGATTCTGCCTAGAGTCGTATTTGTACGACACGTCTGTCTTGTCTTCGTCGTCCGCAACAGGTAACAGAGCTTATTCACAAAACGATCTTACAGCAAAGCCTAAGAAAAGTGCCATAGTCACGAAGCGAAATTATCGCAAGTGTTTCGCACGATGAGATCCTACGACCACGCCTACGACAGCTACAAAGCATTACGCACTTTTTATGATCAAATTTACATCGCCGGCTACATCGTTCGCTTACGTCGTCGCAACGACCAACGTGCATTTCTATGTGCTCTCTGTGCGCGTCCCAACGAAAGAAAAGAAGAAAAAAAAGTAATTGAAACTGAACGCCGCGGCGGAGACAAATGCTAGAACCACGGATACATGAAAAAGCTGCAACGACAAGGACCCACCGACCAAGCGACACCACAGACGCTAGGCTTAGCAAAACACTTCGACGATCCGGGGCAAGACCGTCTGCACACGATCGGCTGGCTTGATGAATGGAATACGCCCACGCGACCTCTGTGGACCCTCCTCGTATGAATAGTTTGAACCCTGACCTCTAATTTGGGGCAAGAAGGCCAGTCTTTCCCCTCGTCGTACCTAGCTTGTTTTCAGATGCAGCGGTGACGAACGATCTCGTCGAGAAGGGACACTCCTCGATTCAATCTCTTTTGTGTGTGTGTGTGTTATAGAGCTCAAATAAATGCCATATGAATTGCCTAATTGGGTACGTACACTTTTTTTAGATGTCCATTTAATTTCGACATGATACGTTAGAGGAGTTTTTGGGAGCGACTCAATGCCGGTCCAGTCTTTCTCTGCCGAGCGTCTCGCCAGCATCGAGTTGCGATTGTCTAGAGGCCCAGCGGTTCATAAAATCGGTTGTAAAAGACCGTTCCCGAAGCGGTGCGGTCTTTTAACCGCACCGCTTCGGGAACGCACGCAATGCCGCACGCAATGCCAGGGAGCAGAACCGCACGCAATGCCAGTGCGAACAGGTATTTACGTGGATCTTGCTGACACTCTTTTACTTCAAACGTATCTTCCTGGACGTTGGCTCCCTCCCGCATCCCCGAAAAGCGCCGCAGGATTTGTTTACATGCGCGCCGCTTTGCAGAGCCGTACGGGCCGTCGCCTTTCAGCCACGACAGTAGTTGTGTTGACTTCTTAGCGATCGAGTTCGTTATCAGTTGCGGTCGCCGAAGGCGGCTATCTCGTGATCAGGAAAGGTGGGCATGCGGGCCCGTTTAAACAGACATTTCGTAGCGTGAATATTGCATCGCACGTACACAATCTCCAAACCACCCCAAAGAAGCGTCGCCGGAAAGACCACCCGGTACTAAAACGAACGGTGGCCAACTTTGCTGTTGCATTCTTCACCAAAGCGCCTCGGTACTACATTTGCTCGGCAGCAGTGGCGGCAAGGATAATCCGCTAAACCTCGTCGTCGCATTTTAGGGAAGTCGGATCTGCTGACCGCTGAACGCATTGGCCCTGGGATCGTCAACGCACGAAGAGACACGAGACCAAGCCAGCGAAGCCACGTCATCAGGGATCTGCGATAAAGGCGATCAGCGCGAAACGGCCAGTTCACATTTGCTCGGCAGCAGTGGCGGCAAGGAGAACATCCGCTAAATTTCGACGTCGCATTTTTCAGGTTGGTGAATTATATTTATAGGATCATATTCGTATATCTTCCTCATTTCCTTGCCGCTGCTGCTGCTGCTTCTGTGAAAAGGCATTAGGTTCTGTGTTGAATGGCCAATGGCGAACCGTTTGTCTCTGATTTGTGCATGCATTGTAATCAGTCGCTTCCAGATGATGGCATGTTTTCTAAATGTTGTGACTGTGAGTATGCCTATCACCTGGGTGCTTGCTCGGGTGTCAGCGAAAGCACGTTTAAGTCTAGGGGGGAAAACGCAAAGAAAACCTGGAGATGCCCGACGTGTCGTACTTCAAAAGCTCGGGGAGCACAGGCGCAGAGCAGAGACAAACGAGAGCCGGAGCTTGACTTCGGAAGACTGCTGCTTGAAATGAACAACAAACTGGGCGATCTCGTAACCATGCGGGAAAAGGTGGACTCGTTGATGTCGGTGAAAGATACTGTCTCTAACATTGAAAAGAAAGTCCAGGAATTGTCGGATAAGTATGACCAAGTACTCGCGCAAATAAAGGAACAGTCTAAAGAGATCTCCGACCTCAAAAAACGAGTTTCAAATGTCGAGACGCAGGGCAGCACCGAAGAAGAGGTTAAAACTAGAAGTAAACAGCCTGGAGCAGTATAGCCGACGGCAGAACTTAGAAATACATGGACTTCCACGGAGCGAAAATGAAAATCTGCTAAGCAAAGTAAATGAAATCGCAAGAAAACTGGAGTTGAGTGAACTGACGGAAAATGATTTGGATGGGCTACACAGGCCCAAGTAAGAAAAGAGTCCGGTAATCTTGTTTTGTCGCGGGTGACGCGTGATCAGTGGCTGGCGAAACGGGGCGGCTTAAGAGGTAACGGTCTGAATGTCCGCTTTGATAATTTGACTGCCTCCAACAAAAAGCTGCTGTGGATGACGAAGACAAAGGCTCGTGAACAAGGGTACGCGTTTCCATGGCAGAAAAACGGAACGGTGTTTGTACGAAAGGCACTAGGCGAGCGCGCTATTAAGATTGAATCTGAGGATGATCTCGGCAAAATAACGTAAAATGGCTGACACACAAAATGGCTGACAACAACAACTCGACGTGGCTGCTGGTAATCCCGACCGACCTTCGAGAGGAGATCTTCCAAGCCTGCCACGACGACCCGACGTCTGGACACCTCGGTTACAGCCGGACACTGGTCCGTATTCGTGAAAAGTATTACTGGCTCAAGCTCCCCAAAACGGTCCACCTATACACACGATCATGCCATGAATGCCAGCGACGAAAGAAACCTCCAACTAGGCCGGCCGGACTCCTGCAGTCAATTCCTCCGCCAACGACCCTTCCAACAGATCGGAATGGATCTACTTGGCCCTTTTCCACCGTCGACGTCGGGAAATCGCTGGATCATCGTCGCCACAGATTATCTCACGCGGTACGCCGAAACGAAAGCCCTTCCTTCCGGAACTGCTGTGGAAGTTGCCAAGTTTTTCATTGAATCCATCGTCCTCCGGCACGGCGCTCCCGCAGTCCTGATCTCAGACCGTGGATCCTCGTTTATGGCCCAGCTGACACAAGAAGTCATTCGTCTCAGCCACACCAGCCATCGTCGCACCACGGCGTACCACCCTCAGACCAACGGGCTGACGGAAAGACTCAACAAGACCATCGCCGACATGATTTCCATGTACGTCGACGTGGAGCACGAGACATGGGACGAGGTATTGCCGTACGTCACCTTTGCCTACAATACGGCCGTGCAAGAAACCACCGGGGTTACACCCTTTCAACTGGTTCATGGTCGCAAAGTGACAACAATGCTGGACGCAATGTTACCCCACGAACCGGCTGTCGACGGAAGCGACGACGCCCAGGTGGTTGCCCAACGGGCAGGAGAAGTCCGTCAGCTGGCCAGACTCCGGATTCAAGCCCAACAATGTATCGACACTGGCCGCTACAACCTTCGTCGCCGGGACGTCCACTTCCAGCCGGGATACAGGGTGTGGGTCTGGACACCGATCCGTCGCCGTGATCTCAGCGAGAAACTCCTGAAGCGCTACTTTGGACCCTACAAAGTGCTTCGTCGACTCGGGGATCTGAACTACGAGGTGATGCCCGATGGAACACGGACTTCATCACGCCGCCCTCTAAGACCAGAAGTCGTCCACGTCGTGCGCATGAAGCCGTACTACGCTCGATAGGACTGTGGACCTTATGTGTTCCAAATTACTCTTTAGTTTACCGTTATTTCTGTTTGCTTTGTTTTCGGTTTATGCTGCATCGGGACGATGCGCTTTTACCGCTCATTCACACTGAAAGCGGATCCGCGATCGCAAAGCGGTTGCGAACGCGGTTGTATAAAGATCCAGTACAATTGCACGCGCAGTTGGTGACGACAAATGCGCGTGCAATTGCACTGTATCTTTATACAACCGCGTTCGCAACCGCTTTGCGAACGCGGATCCGCTTCCAGTGTGAATGAGCGGTTAAAGGGGGGGATAATGCCGCGCGCAGACTTGCAGAAGGTTCTCGTTTGTTCTTGCTGCGAACATAACTTCTATCGTTTTTGTTGTTCTAGAAAGTGCGTGTTCATTCTCGCCCCAAGCGCGCTACGCTCGAACCTTCTCCGCCGAATCTTCGAGATAGTGACTCACTCTAGATAAGAGGCCGCCTGCGACCTTGTCGAGTCAGTTTCGCCTCAGCGTTCGATCTTGCTGCTTCGCCGCCTTCGACGCCCGCGACGCTCTGTTGTTATCTTTATTTCTCCTTTTACTTTTTGGGCACAAGTTCGCCCGATTAAACGTTCAGTTTACTCCGTTATTCGCCGCCTCATCACTTGTCCTTCGTGACAATATAAGTATCTGGGTTTGACTAAAATATCTGACTTAAGGTGGAACACACATGTTATACTTCGTTTCAGCTCCGGTTCGAGCGCGGCCGATGTCATGAGCCGAAGGGCCAATCAAACAGCGCAAAAAGCGCCACGACATGGCGTGCTCTCTGCAGTTGATAGGACCAAGAGGTATTCGCCGTCTCTCCGTGCGTGCTCCTTCGCCGGCTAGTTATATCAAGCACAAAGAGCACGCCACGACGTTGTGCTTTTTGCGCTGTTTGATTGGCCCTTCGGCTCATAACATTGGCCGCGCTCGGACGTAAGCTGAAACGAAGTATAGTAACGTATCTAGTAGAGCAATGAGTATACGTTGGGTTTTCTTCGCAGTGTTGGGTCCGAGGGGGTTCTCCAGGCAGCCTCCATCAGGGCCAGGCCAAGACAGGAACAGCAGGCCAACTCCCGGCAAGAACATCACGAGACGGGAGGGTCTCTCACGACACACTTTGTTTAATACATATATACAAAGTAACTGCATCGTCCGAGAGCACACATGCGCCCTCTTGTTTACTCCTTTTATAGGGTCGCTGTCGGTGCCCCACCGGTTGGCAGCCAATGGTGGCCGAACTGCCAACAAATGTCCTGTTCAGGCCCCGCCCCCACTCATCCCCCGAGCACACACACGCACACACTGTAGTGGCGGCCGGACATCACAATCCGGCGCCGAGATACTCGCCTTCGAATGCCGCGCCGAGGAGGCGACAACAAAGGGTCCACTGTCAGCCCGGGAGACGACGTTGGCCGAGATAGTGCTGATCCCTCCATTAGGCGGCGTTGTGGCACGAGAAAGGCTTTGGCCGGAACATCCGCAAGTGGCGTCCGAAGGTAATCCCTGCCGAACACATCCTCACGGAGGTCCCGCAGCTGGCGCGCCGTCACCCGGAATCCTCGCACGGTAATCCCCCGGTTCCCTGCGTCGGCTGACCCCGTTTCGGGCCAGCGTAATCGCAGCCAGAAAGAAGGGTCCGGCTCAGCTTCGTGCTTAGGTGTGGCGATATCAACACGGTGGTCCTCCGTCGAAAGCCACGGCATCCCTTTGTCGCCTCTCGCTTCGTTTCCGGGCACAACTGACTAGAGCCACATGGCGACGATACTCAAGGGGTTCACCGGTACCGGATGGATTAGATAGAGATGGTCTGGTCCGGGGGCCGTTCATAACAACAGGTATATGAAGCATGGCTCCCATGAGACAAAGCTGTTATTATATAATACCCTGGTTCGGCCAGTGTTAGAATATGCTAGTGTCATCTGGGATCCCCACAAATCATGTTGTATTTCAGAACTCGAGAGAATTCAGAAATTAGCAGTATGTTTTGTGTACAATTTGTATACCTCTTATGTGTCTCCCACAAAACTTTGTATTGAGGCGGGCCTGGAAATCCTACAGGAGAGAAGGAGAATGATTCGTCTAAAATATATTTTCCTTATCATTAACGACAAGCTTGGAATAGACAAAGATGATTTCATTACATTTTTCTGTTGCAGGTCTACTAGGCCTTTTCACAGCAGAACAATAAAACCATATAGTTATAAAAATGACGCATTTAAATACTCCTTTCCTCGAACAATTATTCATTGGAGTAGTTTGCCACCTGATGTAAATACTACTAACTTTTAGATTTTTGTTCCAAGTTATTGCAGCAAGTGCAACCTGTGTGATGGTATGTTTGGTCCACTCTTGTAAGAATCTCGACAGAGATGAACAGTATTAATGAAGAAAAAGAAGAAAAAAGAAGACGGTTTGTTCATAAGAGAATTACCGATAAAACGCATTCCCCGATAGAAGACCAACCTGCGCCGCTGACGAAGGACGCGTCCCTGCAGGGGACGATGGAGGAGAAGGTCTACGATCGGCAGGTGGCAAAGCAGTCCCTGGCGCGCCGGGTGTTGGACGAGCAGCAGATCGAGCGCCACTTCAATGCGGCCGATCTCATGGAACTGTACAGCTTCAATCCAGACAGCAAGACCAACAGGCCAACCCCGATGGTGCCCAAGGTACATATCGCCTCTGAGAAGATATTTCTTCGTGCAAAATGTATTTTAGCGGAAGCGAAGTCTGGATTCGTGCCGTGTCGCCGTAGCTATATCTTGCCAATGCAAGTGACATCGTCGGCTAAATTTAGTGGGACACAACTACGGGTCACGCGACGCACGCGCGTGCGTCGGGTCTCGTTGCAGTGCCATGGAATGTCGACCCATGCGAAGTCGTGGTGTCATGTGACATCACACAACGATATTCGTAACACTGCGTGTCAAGCCTTGGTGTAATGTGGCGTCGCATCGCTTGACCGTGTCGCGTGACGTCAGTGTCACGTGGCACAGCGATATCGCGTGACGTCACTCTGCCCGAATTTGCGTGTGCACCACTAATGCGTTCCACGTCCGGGACGTTTGGACAATAGATGAAAGGACCGCTCGATCTTTGTACAGAGTTACGTTTAAAGACTCTGTATTGTCGCGGAGAAAGTAGGTGTCCCTTTCTCAGATGATGATGATGATGCTGTTATTCACGAACAGCCGTTTATTTATGGGATATGCGATAAAGTCTTTTACAACATGTATGGCCAATTCGTCAATTAATACTGGGGGAGAAATACTTAGAAATACTCCTATTTCTGGCGACTTCCCCTGCCGCCCTCCTCGATCACACGCACCCTCAGCGGGGCCCCCGACCACAGCCAAACTCGACAAATAAGGATCCACACAAAGGCGGGCGAGCCGAACTCCTCCACAGCCGTAAGGGGACCCAAGTTTGCGAGTTAGCGGGCGAAAGACTCCACAACCGAAGGGGGGTCGGACGTGCAGGTTTCTCACCAGAGGCAGGATGAAGTTCAGGGCATGGTATCCGGGAGCCAAGTCCTTTGCAGGCCCTTGGCGGCTGCTTATATTGCGTTCAGCAGCATTCTGGCGCCACCCAGTCCACCAATCAGAAAGTTTGGGAAGGACCAATCAGGAGGGGTTTCTTCAGGACCAATCGGAGACGTCCCAGCATAAGCAAACATGTACACCACATGCACAAACCCCCGGCAAAACACATATCTAGAACAGAAGGACGAAATACAAGAAAGAGAATAAAATACAGGAGGAAGAACAAAACCCTCGGGGAAACGCGCGACGAAAACAAGTAAGCTTACACTGGCGGTCCCCGGTTCAGAATCCCGAACTCAAATAAAACACATAGCTCCAACCCAAAAGGGACAGAATTACCATGCCGCCTCCAAGTTTCCGACATTACCCAACAGCAAATGTGTGATTCAGCGAGTCATCGTAATAAACAACGCCTGCGCACTTAAAACCAGACAGCAGAAATCTACTGGCATTCCCTGCCTGCCGGTAGTTTGCAGAACTTGGCTACAACTCTCCCCAATACATACACACTATGTCACTCACCTCGTCTACAACGTTCGCCGCCTCTCCTAAAGAAAGAATACACAAAGCAAAGACGCGGCTTACCAATACCCGGTTCACGAACGCGTCGCGTAATGTAACACCAGAGTCGGGGTGGGGATCTTCCCGGATACTCTGCCTACTCGAATGGGGATCCCGCGGCTACTTAGCGGCAGCGACCTGCCGTCGGCGAAAGACACTCACTGTCTCGAAAAGGGGTTCATTAAATAAAGTAAAGATATAGAACTGACGCCGCGAAGGCATAGCCTCGCGACAATATGTAGACCTCTTTGGTGATAACTTACGCTCGAATTTGTCTGTCCTACAAACAATGTATACGATTCATTTTGAACCAAGATGCTCTCTTGGGGACCACGTAGATCTTGAAGATTCTCAGATCGTGGTTAGGTTACTTTAGCACGAGGAAACCCTAATTAGTTAAACACGACGATTCACACAATGACTACCTTTCGCAAACCACGACACCGTGTTAAAACCGGGTCTGGACTTTTTGCTACCGCGCGTCGCACAACGTCCCCGGCCGAGACGAGACCTCTACGGCCCGACCGCAGACGACGCCACAGTCTGATGGTGCCAATGCGGTGGAGCCAAAAGTGCATCCTCGCGGCGCTCGTTGCCCTTGTGGGTACGCTATTGCCGGCTGAAGCAATCGCGCACGTAGCGGCGCAGAATTGCATTTGCTCCACGCAATGGGGTGTCTGCCATCCCGTGGACGCATTTCGCGAAGGGAAAGCCGACGCCGTTTTCGCCCTTTTCAGGACCGCCTGCTGGCCGAGATGCTAATGCGACACAAGTACTGGATAGTGTCGTACCACGAGCATGACTCGCTGCTCCAAAACGTGGTGGAGGAGGACCTGACGGAGGAGGAGAGGAAACTGGCCTGGGAGGAGTTCGAGGAAGAAGGACGCAGGGCCGCCAGCGACGCAGGTTCGTTCGACCCGCCCTCTCTTCCTTCGCGTCAAGCGCCCAAGTGCCGTGCTCCGTCTCGATTTGAGTGCGACCGCGGCCGATGCAATGCGCTCGACGGAGCCGATCAAGCGAAGCCAAAGAGAGCATCGTTGCCTTTGTGCGTTTGCTACCGACGACCGAACCTATCGTGCACAGCGAATGCGCCCCGATCCTGTGGTTCTTTTTTTGCGCACGATTGGTCGGGTTGGTGGTGGCAAGCCCAGAAATACATGGGGCGCCGTGGCGATTTACTTCTGGTGCCGCTTGACTGGCTCCGTCGAATCGTAGCGTCGGCCGCGGTCAAGCCTAAAGTGAAACGGAGCTATTGCTAAAGACCCTAAAGACTGATTCGCGCACTTGCGCTCAAGTGTGATGGGCCGTGTTGTAGCCGCTTGCAACGAGAACACGCACTGGCAAGCTGGCGCCATCTATCGGGTAGTCACGGAACTGCTCCAATCTGCTATCATTAGGCTATTTGTGGGATCAAATGATACGAGAAACGGTCTCTAAATATCGTTGAAATTATTTCGAGCACGTAGTGCAAAACTGACGCGTAGTGTAAATGCCAATCGAGATGTGTTCCAGGAATAGCCGATGGATGGCACTAGTGTGTTCTTTGTACTAAAGATCCTGTATTTAAGAAAAGTGGCGCATTCTCTTCCCTACTTATTTTTAACTTCCGGTTTGCGACGGAAGCGCTCTCTGGATATTCCCAAGCGTCTCGACGTCACGGTCAGCCGGAGCGGGTGGAATGCCGATCGTGTTTCTCTGCCTTCTTCTTCCTAGGCGCCTCGGACCTTTCTTTCTTTGCGGACGCACTCTCCGAGCACTGCACGTCAGAGTCCACGCTGCACGAAGACTCCGAGGACGAGGTACTTCGCATCCTTGCCTCGATTTGATCAAGACGATCCATGACAGGGCGCCAGCAGGTTACCGATCAATTCCTGTGTTGCCTGTAGCTGCGCGTTGAAGAATCTGAATGCAGATATTTTGAGCAGACTGCCTTTGCCTGTGGGCGAGGATGACCCCCACCCTCCCAGAGTGCTGCTCATGTTGCAAGCGTTGACAAGGGCACTATAGTTTGTTGCAGGTCAAGGATAGCATGAGGGTGGAGAAGAGGAAGCCGCCTCTACTCGCCATGATAGGTGGTTTGCTCCTCTCCAGTGTTCACTCCGCCAATGTCAAGAGAGACGGACGGAGACTTCTGCTATACTTGACTGGCAGAAAAAAACACATAAAATACACTCTTTCGCTCGTGTCCGACGCAGTTCAGAGTGGAAATGCCGGAAGCCCCAGAGAGAGCTATCCGGCAAACTCGTCGAAAGCCGACTGGTCGACAGCCAACTTCTCGACGGTCAATTCGTCGAATAGGCCGATTCGTAATAGGGCAATTTGTCGAAGGGCAATTACTTGAAAGGAGCAATCTGTTGAAGGGCGATTCGTCAAATGTGTTGAATGATGGTCCGAGGTGAAATTTCGTGGTTTCTTACCTTTTTGCATAAATTTTTATCCGTGTCTTGACTAAACGCAGTGCCCTCGTTAAATTACAAGATTGGAAAAAAAATTGTAGAATCCTTCCGCTTTACGTGAAGGTGGAGGACCAGCGAAGCTGTTATTTTGACAACGCCTAGGACGATGCCTACAGCACGACGTCTCGGACGACCTCAGGGTCTTCTAGGTCGACCTCGAGGACGACTCTAGGCAATGACGTCTAGGACGGCCTCAAGGACGACTTCTAGGACGATCTCAAGGACGACTTCTAGGACAACTCCTAGGACGACTTCTTGGACAACTCCTAGGACGACCTCAAGGACGACGCCTAGAATGACCTCGAGGACGACATCTAGGCAATGACGTCTAGGACGGCCTCAAGGACGACTTCTAGGACGATCTCAAGGACGAATTCTAGGACAACTCCTAGGACGACTTCTTGGACAACTCCTAGGACGACCTCAAGGACGACGCCTAGAATGACCTCGAGGACGACGTCTAGGACGACCTCGAGGACGACGTCTAGGACGACCTCTAGGACGACCTCGAGGACGATGCCTAGATACGACAACAAGGGATCAGGACCTCACTATCTAATTAAGCCAAGGGAGGCTGACTCAAGCTGGTTGCCCCTTCTTTTTTTTTTTATTTATTCATACTTGCCACGACCAATGGAGAGTTTTCTCTCAACATCCGCGGACGCATTTTTTCCCAGATCCTACCGCATAACAGCTTGGCTTGTAGAAAAATCGCGAGAGGGCGAAGACAGGAAAGAACCTTGAGATAAGTTGAAAGATGTGTCATCTCGGGATCTCCGTTTTGTTTATTGTCTTACTTTTTTAATGAACCACCGCAGACTAGCTGCGAAGTGGCATGAACGGGTGGGCTGGGAAGGTTAACACGCGGCGCCCCACTGATTCGCGCATGACGTAGTGACCGTCCCCCACTGTACCGTGAAGCAGCGAAAGTGGAAAGTTGTTATCTTCGACAAGATAAGGCACACTGGAGGTCAATGGCCATGCGGCGATTTTACAGATTGCTAATGGCGACAAAATGTTTTGGTGGCGCCACCTCGCGGCCGCCCTTTTGTGACGGAGCTGGTAGGC